CACTCTTTCTATCTCAGGAGTGCCCACATCTTTCATAATTTATGATGGAGGCTTACTTCATTGGAAATCATTGCAAATAATCTCAAAATTTTAAGAGAATAATATTTTTAACCTTTACTTTCATTATTGCTTGTTAGGCTTGTAAACAACTACCTTTCCATGTAATGAGGAGAACTAACAAAAAACAAATGCAAAATTGCTTTAACTCACTTCCTTGAACAATCGCCACTTCCTTCTTGAACAGATGACATTTTGTGTCACCACTTTCTGAAGAAACCTGACTTGCCCCTTGCAATTGTAGCAAAGCCCTCTAAAAAAAAAAAAAAAAAAAAAAAGCAACAATGTGTTTGAAGCAGTGTTTGTATTCAGTAAGCAGTTATCATAGTCTTCTGTAGTCTGGCATTGTTTGTCTTTTGGATGTACTTTCTGTCCCAAGATTAAGACACACATTGGGCTAGGTAATAACATCATAGGACCCCCCAAAGCAGGATCTGGGGATGTTTCGTTCCAAAGTAATGAAAAATGTTAAGGAGGTGTATTAGCTAATCTTTCTAGTCAGACAACAAGAATTCTGCATGCTTTAATCATATATATGTATTTGTTGAATAGTTTCTGGTTAGCTCGTCAATATGGTTCAATATGGCCAGCAGGTTAGAGATGGACATTTTGGTTTGATGTTATCGCCATTCACATTTTCTCAAACTTAATGGGCTGTTATACTATGATATCATTCATTCAAAGAGAAAAACAAAGACAACATTTGGGATCATCAGTTTGTAACAGAAGAAAAGGAACTGGTAAAAAAAAAAGTGTTCTTAATTACAAATATTCAATGTATGTACATTCCTTATATTTATTTGCAGAAATACAATTACCTCAATTTTGGTTAAGAGATCCTGCAGTTCCCCAGATTCATTCATTAGCAAAATTTTCTCAGCACCCTATTAGAAAGAAGAAAAAGGTCAGCCAGTTTAGCATGAAAAAACAGAGATGATCAGAAGATGTGGTCTTGAAATTTTAAACAGGCTGAGGACAAATTTGACTCACATTAAGTATTTTGTAATTAGGTCAACCTTAGGAAAGTTAGAAGAGGAGAATCCAATCGTAGTTCTGATAGAAGTGCCTGTGGTTCATTACCAGATGTCATATCACATTGTCTTTTTGCAAAATGTGACACAGCTTGGAAGTTCTGATTGTGTTCACTTTATTTTACAGGGTATGCTTCCTGACAGAATAAAAAATACATCTAGTTACCGTGTCAAAAATTACAATTATATAAATATACAACACATCAGAGAATGCAGCAAAATGAGAGGAGGAAAATGTATTTCAAATATTCTGGCAGTTGAGCATTGAATTAAGGCATAATATGCCTAATGTATGACACAAGGAGAAAAAGGGTAATGAAAATACTGTAACAACATTAAAGTCAGACACAACAATGAATAATAATAATATAGTCTGAGTACATTATGCCTCTGAGGGGTTTGAACTGAGGCAGTACTGAAGTGTTTTTTTCTTTCTTCCTTCTGAAAGTAAATGCTAAGAGATTATTGCAGACAAAATGAAAGTGTCAAAGATGATGTAAAACTTTTTTTTTTCCTTTTCTTCTACTTAGAGGGCCACATTTGAATGCCTACAATTCACTTATGTAACCAAATTCACTGAATACTAAACATTACCAAACACTTACAGACACTTTTAACCAGTGGATCACAAGAAACCAACAAAAGTTGAGGAAACTGAGGCACTGATGGAGGTAACTGCACAGCCCTCGCTCACTGCTCAGGGCGATTGGCCTCATCTAGACTGGCTGGTGGGTTCATGCCATCACGATGCCCCAGTTTGCTAGTCCCTGCACGCCCAGGCTGTTAAATTCCACCTTTGGGTTTCCTTCCAGCGTGAGCTGGGAGGTGCAGGGGGATTGCTGGCACATGGCTGAGGTGCGGTGGGATGCTGGCACGGAGCTGAGGTGCGGTGGGATGCTGGCACCGGGCTGAGGTGCGGTGGGATGCTGGCAAAGAGCTGAGGTGTGGTGGGATGCTGGCACGGAGCTGAGGTGCGGTGGGATAGAATCATAGAATCATAGAATCATCTAGGTTGGAAAAGACCTTTAAGATCATCCAGTCCAACCATTAACCTACACTACCAAGCCCACTCTAGACTAATCAAGGGTAGACCAGACTAAACCATATCCCGAAGTGCCACATCTACCCGTTTTTTAAACGCCTCCAGGGATGGTGACTCCACCACCTCTCTGGGCAGCCTGTTCCAATGCCTGACCACCCTTTCCGTAAAGAAATTCTGCCTAATCTCCAGTCTAAACCTCCCCTGGCGCAGCTTAAGCCCATTTCCTCTTGTCCTATCGCTAGCTACTTGGGAGAAGAGACCAACACCCACCTCACTACAACCTCCTTTCAGGTAGTTGTAGAGAGCGATAAGGTCTCCCCTCAGCCTCCTCTTTTCCAGGCTAAACAACCCCAGTTCCCTCAGCCGCTCCTCATAAGACTTGTTCTCCAGACCCTTCACCAGCTTCGTTGCCCGCCTCTGAACACGCTCCAGCACCTCAATGTCTTTCTTGTAGTGAGGGGCCCAAAACTGGACACAGTATTCCAGGTGCGGCCTCACCAGCGCCGAGTACAGGGGGACAATCACCTCCCTGCTCCTGCTGGCCACAGCATTCCTGATACAAGCCAGGATGCTGTTGGCCTTCTTGGCAGGATGCTGGCACGGAGGTGAGACTGGCCATTACTTTGAGCTGCCCACAGTCAGCTCCCCACCAGCACTGCTCTCCCTCTTACTGGGAGCTACAGGAAAGGCTGCTGGGGAGCACAGGGAACACATATGGATCAGTAATGCATGTGCTAGCGTCCAAACATTTGTAGTGCCTCGCTAGGGACGGCAGAGGTTACAAGTATGTAGCCCAAAAGCCAACTAAGGGCCACCAAAATGTTGCAAAGGATTGTGTATGTCACCCTATTAAGGTTAGTTTCCTTGTGCAAAGTCTTTTTGCTCTGGTTTTGTACAAAAAAGAAGCGCTTTTGACTCTGTGTTTGATAATTTTCATTTCAGTTAAAAAGCAAAGTATTAATATTTTAGTGGATGTGAGTGTCACTTTTGCAGCGGACACTGCTCTTACAGTGCTACACTTTCAAAGAGTTTCTTTTTTAAAAGAAGTATCCGGAAGGTAATTAGTTGTGGTTAGTTACAGCTGATGACAGGAGACTCAGATCAGCCAGCCTTACTTGTGCTGACTCTTCTGCTGAAATCTGCTGTAGATCGTGGGCACAGAGCGTACCAGGTCTGCTATAGATCATGGGCACAGGGTGTACCAGCTTCGACATACGCATTAGGCTCTCTGCGTCCCCAGCAGAGCAGCTTTTAGCAGTCTGTCAGCCCCTTTCACGCTTACCCTCTAATCTTTTTCTGCTTTCACCCAGAACGGCCAATAGGAGTGATTGGCACAACAAAGCGAGGGCTTGCCAAGGCGGCCCACAGAGTATTAGCTCAGGGCCTGAGTACACTGCAGCGGCTTAAGACAAAGCTTGCGCTGCCCATCAGATGCGGAGACATTAAGGATTTGCAGCTTCATTGATGTAATTGCAGCACTGCGAATTCCCTAAGCCGGAAAAGGCCTGATTTGCCCCCGTTTAGGAAAGGATCTCTTCTCTGCAGCAACAGCTGGCAAAAGCGTTCCTGCGACTTATGCTCCATATTACAGTGATGCTGTATGATAACGCTGATTGGCTTTTGCAGCAGTATAATTAAAAGTCTGACAGGTTTCCCATTATAGATCCATATTTTAAAGGATTTATATTTCACATGACATTCAGTCAGCCAGCTGTGTTACTTTCAAAGTGGAAAGCCTCATTACTATGGTTTTAAAATTAAAAACCAAACGTCTGAATGGCTATCAACTTTTTTAAGTGTTTCGGCATGGCTTTTCTGATTAATGGCTGCCTCAAGTGAAATTTGAATAAAAGATACTTTGCAGAGGTTAACCTTCCCTTTGGATCTCTGAATCTTAACACACAGAGTCTGTAATTAACAGAGTAATTAAAGCAGCTGTTAAATAAGTCCAATAGCTGCTTTCTGAACAGAAAGCAACGCTTTTCTTTTTCTTCCTAGATTCTACTCAGTAGAATTACAAGTACCCTCAAAGGGATGTGAAACATTAAAGAATCTGTCCCTCCTAAGACTCACATAAGGAACATGAGGAACAGTGGCCATAATGTCTAGAGAAGCAGCAGGGAGAAGTGAGTTTTCAGTTTTGTTAACCAGTTAAATTTCAAAGCACCAGCCTGTGAATCCTTTATCTACTAACTTCAGTAGCTCTCTACCGTGGTGGAGGAGCCCAGGGGCTGCCGCCAGGTCTTTGCCCTTCTTTTGGCAAGGAAATGCCAGACTTGGCTAAATCACTCAACAGATTTTCAAGACCATCTTTATTCTTTTCCCAGTTTTCTCTTGAGAACATCCAGAAACCAGCATCAGATTTCAGGTACAGTCCCACTAACTGCAGAACTAGGATAAATCCAAGGTCCATTAAATCTCCTACTGCCACAGCTCTGTCCTGTCACTAAACCAGTCTGGTGCTCACGTGTCTTGGATGTAGCCCACTACCATTTTCACAATGTAACTCCTCATCAGGGAATACACATAGGTATATGGCTCTGCATCTGGCTGTACTAGAATACCTGCTGATTTTGGGAAGCAGCTTCTCTTCCACACGCTTCCCTGTATACCAAGAAAAATGAGCACGGCACCGCAACATCTGTCCTGTGGACCCGTTTGCTGTGCAGATAAGTTGCCTCTCATCTCCTTAAAAACAAACTTTTGCTAATTTTACAGGAGAGGCCTCTTGCTGAGGCAGCAGAATGCAATCACATGCCTTACCCTTACTGGACCTGCCTGGGGCTGAGCAAGGAGACAGACTGCATATACCTCTGCCTTTGCCCAAAGCTCACACACTCTTCAGCCTACAGCACTACACCTCTGACAACGAGGTGCCTCTTGGCAGCAGGCATGCATGGAGTGTGATTAAATGCCTGGAAATCTGCCCATAAACTGAGAAAATTGACACTGCAGTATAGTACCAGCACCAGAAACGCCGGGTTTGAGATGCAAAGAACTGTTAACACTGATATGGAAGGAGCTATCAGATTAATTAAACCCTGCTGTTCCTGAAATGTTAAACTGCAAAATGGAAGAAGCAAGTGGGAAAATGCTAGGTGATTCGATGCAATGATTACATCACAGTTTTGCTGCCACAGAGCCATTCATATCCACCCCATCAAGGCAATGCCAGGAGAATGTGTTTAACAAAACATGGAGGCAGTTGAGAACCACTAATCACATATGGCCACTGGAAAGCAGCAGAAAGAGAGCGGTAACTACTTGCATAATAAAAAAATATCTTACACAGATATTTTCTAGAAGTCAATTACAAAAGTAACCTTATCATTCTTAGGAAGTAAACATAACCAATGAGTCACATAAAATAATTTTACTGTAAATCTCATGCTGTTGTGGATTCATTACTGCTGGAAAAACTAAATAGGAAACAGTTTCTTCAGGAAAAAAAATATTAAATTCATATATTTGAAAAAGATTCAAGTAGGTTTATATGGCAGGTGAATACTGAATTCAGTCACATATTTAAAGTGAAAAATAAAAAAATGTATTTTAAAACTATTATACAGTGAGCTAACATGTTTACTAAAGATGACTCTATTTGCCTTTTTTTATGTGCATCCTTTTTCCAGCAGAGTGGGTCTTTACATAACGGAAACCTCTAACAGCCTTTTTAAAAGAGGAAATTAATGCTTCATATTTTATTTTTTTCTATGTTGCTTTCTCATTTCTGGAAGTCATTTTTTATTCTGCTTTGGTGTCCCAGCAGATGGCATAATTCCATTTCAGATGGCAACAGCCTCAGGTGAAAAGGAGGGATTAGATCAGCTGGTAAAGAGCATGCTGCAGAAAGAACCTGCAATTTCCTGACAGACTGATATTTAGACAGCGTGTGTCAAGAAATACAATGATTCAATCCTGAAAAAATGAGAAGATTAAAGAACCTGCTGTACTGCAGCATCCAGGACTTCACTTGACAGGGGCGAAATATTATTTTTCTATTGCTTCTGCCCAAGTCGCTGGTTTGTTTTCTTCCCCTGTGCAGGCAATGATGAATTCCACAGCGCTGTGAAGATTTATCCACACAGCCTGCAGTGCTCTAACAACCTTGTCCCTGCTTCTGAACAGCTCGGATACTGCATACTCTATCAGATGCACATACGCTGTGTTCTGCTGCTTTTGTTACATTTATCTCATTAAAAAATAATCTTGTCCCCTTTCAAAACTGTTCGTATTTTAATTAGGGGTTGGGTTTTTTTCTCCTTATGACTCATTGAAAGGTGCCTGGCTCAATATAGATTCTCCTTTGTATTGCTACACACAATCTTCTTCAGAGAGGGATTTGCCAGGAAATAAATATTCAAAATTTTAGAAAGAGAGACAGAAAAAGGGAGAGAGAAAATATTACATGATTAATTTACTGGCACACCAGGCTTCTGGATTCCTGTGTTGCATTTGCATATCAGAAGATAATTATCATAAAAGACATTACAGAAATGTCCACTGTTACCAACGAGACCAAATTCTGTAATTAGTTCTCAATCGCATTTTAATGAAACACAAGCCCAGCACAGGTTCCAGCCAACTTACTGCTTTTGGAGTCAGTGATGCAATGTCTTCTTAAGATGCCACATCCACCAGGCATTGACACAGCCAGGGGGGTGATCACTTCGTTGCCAGACCTCACATTACAGAAATGTCCACTGTTACCAACGAGACCAAATTCTGTAATTAGTTCTCAATCGCATTTTAATGAAACACAAGCCCAGCACAGGTTCCAGCCAACTTACTGCTTTTGGAGTCAGTGATGCAATGTCTTCTTAAGATGCCACATCCACCAGGCATTGACACAGCCAGGGGGGTGATCACTTCGTTGCCAGACCTCCTCAATATGCAAAGTGTCCCCCCCCCCCCCCATTATTTCTCTTCCTAAATGAATGAATGCCAACTTCTCTTATGAAGCCATATTAAGACAAAGAAATAAAAAGTGCAACAAAATACTGGGGTATTGCCACATTTACCAAAGAGAGTGTGTGGATAGAGGTCCCCTGGGGCTGTCCCTTCCCATCACCCTGCCAGCCGCCGTGCTCCTGCTGGTAGCCACAGTGGGCTACCTGAGTTAGCTCTGCTCGCTTTGAACTTGGTTTTCCCATTCTGGTTCATGTCAATGAAAGCACGTTAGAGAGTGATGCTGATAGACCCAAAGCAGCAGTGCTCCCTAGTATGACGATGACCTTATCGCTCTCTACAACTACCTGAAAGGAGGTTGTAGTGAGGTGGGTGTTGGTCTCTTCTCCCAAGTAGCTAGCGATAGGACAAGAGGAAATGGGCTTAAGCTGCGCCAGGGGAGGTTTAGACTGGAAATTAGGAAAAATTTCTTTACGGAAAGGGTGGTCAGGCATTGGAACAGGCTGCCCAGAGAGGTGGTGGAGTCACCATCCCTGGAGGCGTTTAAAAAACGGGTAGATGTGGCACTTCGGGATATGGTTTAGTCTGGTCTACCCTTGATTAGTCTAGAGTGGGCTTGGTAGTGTAGGTTAATGGTTGGACTGGATGATCTTAAAGGTCTTTTCCAACCTAGATGATTCTATGATTCTATGATTCTATGATAATTAGTGGAGAGCAGTGGAGGGCAGAAACCTCATCTGTGAGCGCAGGTGAGGGGCACCCACATTGGCAGAGCAAAGGGTGGCCACCATCCCCACTGGCCATGGTGCCCCCCATGAGCAGAGCAGGTGTCTCCTGGACTGCTCCCCACCTGCAAAGCGCATTCTCCACAAATAATACCACTGTTACATGGAATAACTTTAATCCTCTCCTGGAGCTAAAGTCTGCTCCATTTAACCACAATGTGCCTCATCAATTTAATCAAAAAAAGAAAAAGAAGGAAAAAAACACACCCTGAAGTCTGATTTTGTTCTGGTTTTTAGCAGATCAATAGGTTTTTTTTTTTTTCCTTGTGTTAAACAATGTCCATGGAGTTGCTGTGCCGTAATAAATGTCTGTAGGCCAGAACACCAAATTCTTTCTTCATTTTTTTACCTACAGGAGGTAAAACCTGCTGAGTACCTGTCAGCAGGTAGTTGGACTGCTAGATTTGTGTCTTCCACAGACAGCTAGCTTCCTAATTCACTTGCCTTCCTTTCTATACCTCTCCAAAATATCTCATACAATACTTAAATAATTTTAATGAGATTGTATTGCTTGTTACACTGTTGCTTCTCTGTTAAAAGTCAAGTTTCCCATGATCTTGTAAAAAAGAAAGCAGCAGTGAATTAATGGGCCATCCATCTTATGAAAATGACTGTAACGAGGCTTCACCTAGAGCTGAGCAAATAATTTATTCAATCCATTTCAGTGTTTTAACTGAATTCTTTTGACAAATTAATCACACGTGGACTGAGATTTTCTTGGACTCTGTCATAACTCGCTACTTTTATTTTTAACGTGATAATTAGGTGAGCAAATCTTAGTCTGAATCCTGTTGAATTTTAAGCTGTTTTTGAATGACGCACTTCTGTGCCTGGCTGACTGGAGAACTCTCCAGCTCAGGTTTTTGATAAAAGCATCCTCTACTAGGAAGTAAAAATCACTGTCTGCTAGTATTCTGCACACAGGCGATTTTGCAGTTGCTGCAGTGGTCTGGTGAGCCCTGGGCCAGCAAATGCATTTGCTAGAGTACTTGGGGGAGCCCGCCTCGAGCCAAGAGCACCAAGAGCTAGGAGGCGGACTGGGAGTAAGGGGAGAAAGGGCCTATGTTTATACAGGCCCAGTATCAGTTATGCCTGATTGTTGATTACATTTCATTTCATTACTTAAACCTTTTGTGAAAATGAAAGTGTTAAGCAATACAAACACAATGACCCTGCTGTGTATAAATACAGTTTGCCTTCACAAATCACAGTCTCGCTGTTGGTGCTAATTGCTAGTTCCTTACTGCTCGAGACAAATACCTTCTCTGAGGTCTCAGGTTGTTTTCTCTGTTCCACTTTCCAGAATATTTTTCTTTTAAACTCTGATTTTTTCAGTTTCTGAGAAATACATTTCAAAAGTACAGGCTGGCCTTAATGAAAAGGCAATTTCAAATAGCAACAGGCTTTTAGTACCGGAGTACGAATTTGGATTATAGTTTTCCACTTGGAGCTTATGTCTTGCAACAGGGCAGAGTTGGGCTCTCTCTTTTACTGCTAGACTTTTCTAAAATTAAGTATTAACCAATTCTGTACCTAAAACAATGTTCAGTTGATTACGGATGCCTGATACAGACCACATCATATAAAATTCAATGCATGTTTAAGGTCTGACACTACAAGTTGTTAGTTTCATATTCAACACAGATATTACTAAATGACAGGTTTATGCTATGTGTGTTCATCTTCCTGGGTCAATCATAGATACAGGTTCCCATGAGGAAAAAAAATCCATTTCTCTAGATTTTCATGGTTTCAACTACAAACATAAGCTATTTTTTAAGACACACAGGATATCTTAGATTGTATTACTGCACCTTATTCCCTCTTGATCTCCTCTCCCTGGTTATCTTTTGCATCTTCAGATCAAACCTATCAGTGTGGATCTGCGCAGCACATACCACAAAAGGATCTCTATCTTTGTTCCCATCATTGCAGCATTGCAAACAATTTTTGAAGAACTCTGCTTCTTATTCATCAAGATTTTCATCTGTTCTTACAGACTGCAGAGTAAAACATAGGCTCATGCTTTACTTACCCCAAGATAATGGCCATCAATAAACACAACAGGGAGTGAGGGAACTTCACAGACCCTCCTGCATCTTTCATCTAGTTCTTTTCCATAATCGCTGTTCAGAGCAATGTTTTTTTCTTCAAATTTAACTCTGTGATTTTGAAAGATCTTTCTAACCAGTTCGCATCTTTCAAAAGTTGTCCTGACCACACGAAGGCTGGTAGTATAAATTACTATGCGGCCAAACTCTAGCACTGTTGATACCTGAAAAAAAAAAAACCAGTTCTCATTACACTAAATAAGGTGTTAATATTTTCCAAGTATTGAGTAATTTCATTAAAAATACTGTTTAAGAAAAAAAATTGCACCTTGAAAACACAATCCAATATTCTACCTTTTTCAAATGTAGAGATGGAAGGGGACGAATTAAGTTCTTGCAATCAGCAACTTAAGGCAATTTAAGTTGTTTATCTAAGTAATGTGCAACTTTACTTTTTTTTGAAAGCTTTGGAGATTGTGAATCAAGCCCAACATTTTCAACATACAGATGTATTTTAGATGTTGGTGTACTTCCAATGTCAATAAATCACCACCCTTTTGCTGTTGTCCTGCACACAAAGTCACCCATCCTTCCCCAAGCAGTAAATTACAATGCCATGGGTTAGTCTCCTCTCATGTATTAAAGCACAAATTCTTCAAAGCTGCAATAATAATGTGAATGCAGGACTCCCCTGACACTGACACCTCCCCCACCCCCCATTTTTAGAGATGTCTGATTCTGTTATAACAGTGACTTGTATCTGTTTGCACAAACACAGTACAGTAGTACCCAGACTAAGTTTAAATTTGCTAGCTCAAGCGTTGTTGACAAACTCCTTTAAGCAAGGACGAGACCCTAAGTTGAACTCCATCACATCCATGAGCCAACACTAACTTGGAGTACTTTAGGTCTCTCCACATTGAACTAGATTATAACTGCAGAGGGGACAGATGTATCTATAATCTTTAGTGAGGATCCACATCAAATTACTCTAACATCCAACCAACAATAAAAAAGTACATTTTGTGTGTTTTCAGAGCCCAATTCAAAGCCCACTGCAGTGAGGGGAGGTTGTTCCCTTGGCTGTAAGAAGTTTCATACTACAATTCAGATTTTACTTTTTACCCAACTTCTTCATATGTAAAAGTTTACACTACGTTTTTCCTTTCTGAGATCAAAACTATTAGGGAGGGTAAATACTACAGGGATTACTTTGTCCAAGAGAGAATGGTACATTTTCAAAAAGCCTGAGAATCATTGCCCTAAACAAAGATATTATGTTCAGATAAATAGCTAAAATCCTAGCTTTTTTACAAGGTAGTAAGGCATTTCCAAGCTTCAAATTATCCATTATATTCAGCAAATTATATTTAATTATTTCAGCAGTATTGCAGGAGTAAAACAACAAGTTAGAAAATAATAAGCAAAGATGCCTGTAACACACTGTAGCAATCTATGGAAAATGAACTGAGATGAGTGAATAAATAAATTTTGAACTATGTCATGTAATAACTGTAAAGACAAAGTTACTATGTAAATGCAAAAAAAAAAAAGGTCATTGCAAAAAGCATATTCTGCTTAGAAAGGTGTTTGCAATGTTCAATGTATGGTGAAGAGTTCTCAGGAAAAACACTTGGGTTTTACAGATCACTTCTAGATCACTGGAAGTGTAATTGCAAGCATATGTAATTTATTGGTTTTGTGTCTCCCGTTCTGGGAAGGAAGCATGTTGTGATAGGTCAGTATTTACTTCTCTTTGAATGGATGTCAGAAATTCAATTTTAGGAACAAATGTTATAAAAAGCGGGCTACTTTTCTCCAGCCTGTTTTCTAGATTGAAAACCTGTTACACTGCTACTGCAGCATTGACTCTTCTCCAGCATATTGTTCACACATTCCAAATGCAAGGATTAGCTCATCCTCTAATTAAAAGACAAGTACTGTACAGAAATACTCCCAAATATTTTAGTAACCATGCATGGGTTGCTGGAAGGAAGAGGAGTTCATCCTTTTCAGAAGTAACCAAAAGGAGTTCTTAAAATATTCCTTCAAAAGATAATTTCACACACTGATTTTTTTTCTCCTCTTTGGAGTGAAAATACATTTTTTAAGTGGAAAACTATTCAATAGGATGGAAATTCTTGTTCCCTCATAGCTCTAATCTCTAATGCTGTTTGTTCCCAGACACCAGAGGCTGGCAGCATAGATACAGACAGTCATTATCTAGTGAAGCATCAGGACTGTGCTGTCCCTACAGCATACAAATAAGCAGCTGAAGACATGGAAAATGGAAAGTTGTAAAGTGATCTGGAAAGATATCAACTGGAAAGTGTGTACTCAGAGTCACTTTTATGTTTATTCCTTTATTTTTTCCTAATGTGGCAATGAAGAAAAAACCTTGTTTGCCCTGCAAAGAAGTATCAAGGGCATTGACTAAATAATTCTTTAGGGAAAATTTAGTAAACATCTTGTTTTCTATGCTACAAACACACAGAACTCGTCCTTGGCAGGACATTATCATACCAGAGAAAACCCTTCGTGACACCTGTCTTGAACCACACTGGTAATTAAAAATAGGAGTCAAGACAGTTAGAGAAATTTACAGGACTTTTCTTAACAAGTATCTATGCTAATTCCTATTTTGCTACCCTATTCAATGGCTACACCCTGTAATATTTAGCGACTAGAATACTCTCTTTAAGTAAATCAGCAGAATAATGTTTGAACACTGTGCTTTTCATTCCTAGGTTGGAACTGTGGCAAAAACACAATAAATGACAAACAATGTAAACAAATTAATAGAAAGACATTTTAGAAAATGAACTTTTACAATTTTGCGTAACAAACTTCAAATGAGAATCATCCCATATAACTCACAAATGCACATAAAATTGTAGCTGAAGTTAAAGAGAAGGTAATTCTCTGGTTAATGGGCATGACAAAACTTTACTCAGGCTGTGGAAGTAGGACAGATGAACAAACCAAAAGATTTGGAGCAACTGACATTGACCACTTTCTCACACTTCCTCTAAGTGGGATTCTCATTGTAACCCGAAGCTTATGGAAATCTCTTGGCCTGAGGTGGAAACTTTTGTGTCAGACTGAGAAAACCCCATGCACATGAGCCAAGAATGTGCTTCGAAGAAGGTGTCCTTGTAGAAAGACTGCCAAGGAAGGGATTTCAGGTTTCAGAGGGAAATAAAAGTTGCTTTAGTAATGATCCTCTACACCAGTTACAGGTTTTAGTTTAACAGCACATTGCTAGCACCTCCCAAAGGATCCAAAGGCAGTATCTGTTTTACTGCATCAGCCTGAAGAGCTTGCATTTTGCTTGGGAGCTTCCAGTAGGCAGCACCAGCAGCAGCATGACCTGCATCACTTCATGGCACAGACACCACTCCCAGTGACTTGGGAACAGCTCCCTTTTCTTCTCAATCCAGAGAGAAAAAGCAACTGCTCCACCAGTTCAATCCTGTTCATGGCTGAACATGAGAAAACCAAAAGATCTTTCTTATTTTGAACCTGACTCAGTCTTTTCCCAGACTTCTCTACCAGATGGATCAGGGCTTTCACAAATGAGGAGTTAGTTACACTTTGGTGTACAACTAGGAGAAACCTATCCCTCTGCCATCCCACCAGCATCCATCTGACATGGTTGCAACTAAATGTAACCATTAACTGAGCAAGTCTTCTGCAAACAGCATGAGGGATGTCACTCCGTGAGACTAAATACATGAGCTTAGCATCAAGAGAGACCACAGAACAGAGGACATTGCTAATGAAAAAGAGAATGCTTAATAGAGCAAGCAGATGAGCAACAAAAGGGAGGGACGCAGGGGACGGAAAAAGGGCTGGAAAGACAGAAATAACCAAAAGATAGATAAGAAACCCAAAATCAAAATGTCAGAATACTGACAAAGGAAGAATACTACAAACTAAATGTAGAAATAAAACCATGAAAAATATGACAAAGAGACAGAGAGTAAAACAAAACAAAGTAAATGACAAAACAGAGAGAAGGTCACTGAAATATGACATCCTGAACATATTTAAAAGAAATCCTGGTAGCCAGTGTAAGTGTACAGTAACAAATATATTAGAGAATATGTAAATCTCCAGGTTGTTTCAATATTTTCAGGGTTTTTTTTTAAAAAAACTTTACTGGAAGTGCAGAAATAGGAAATATTTGGGAACCATAATCCTAAAACATATGTTTGAGAATTTACCTTTTCTGTATAACAGCTGCCATGACAATAACAACAGACTTCTCAGTAGCTCTGAAAATATTGTATAACAGTCAGGTGTTTCCATGGTGCTTCTGAAAGCCAGTTAAATATGTACATCATAAAACTCCCACAGACATCTCTGGGTTCAGGCTTCCCCACTGTATCTTATCCCTGGCTTCTGGATCCAGTCGCAACTGCAGTGGCAGCAAAAAGCATCCGTGTTTCTCTACTGGTCCCATAGCTACCCGGGCCCTGACCAGTCCCCTCAGCCTGAACAGATACCACTCACACTCCTATTTGTGAGGGGAATTTATAAAATGAATTATTGAATAATAATACTAGATTATTTCTTCAGCATATTTGTCATTAATTGCTTTCCCTAGGCTACAGATTTTCTTCAATACCTTTTATGACATTTTTATGTCTGCCTTGCTGACTTTGAGTGGCTCTTTATCTTTGGAACAAAACTCGTAACGTATATTTTTTTGCAGGACAGCTAAGAGCTGGCCAAATTCAGAGCAGAGGAAGTGCTCCAAGCCAATGCCTTTCTACTTGTGGTGTAAGGACCACTGGTGGACCATTGGGCACAAAGCAATTGTTCCTAAAACAGTGGTAACATTTTCTTTTTGAAAACCCCTGGATATGACCATGTCTGCAAGCAAGTAAACAGACAAGCCCAGCAGTAAGAGGAATATTCATGGTGTTAACCTCATTTTTATTTGGTTGCAAATGAAAACTATGACAGCAACATGACAAAAGTCATCATGTGATTATTTTTTTTTTTAATCCTCTCTCTGGACAGAAGACATAAACGTGTTTTAACCTCACTGGTGTGAAAAGAATAGGTATTTACATTCATATCCATATATAATTTATTTCAGTGATGTCATCACCCACAAATTTATGCTTGGTTCTTTTAAAGTACAAAGTAACAAATGCAAAAAAAAACCAGAAACACCAAACTCACTGTATACTTTGCATTATATGCATTATATGAG